GGAAATGGTTCCCCACCAGTAGGGTCAGTCATACACTCTTTTCTTAAATGACATTACTTTTTTCATAACATATTCATGTTATGTGTTTTTATGCTATGTATCATCTCCATGTATGTCTATCTGTCCATCTCACCTAGAATACATACGATCTCTATGAGGGCAGGGGCCTTGTTGGTCTTACTACTACTTTATCCTGGCATTTAGAAAGCAATACAATAGAAGCTCACTGGATACTGTAGCTGGAGAATTAATGATTCAATGGAGTCTTCCTCCCTCCTTGTAAATACAAAGCATTACTAATGAATCCTGTGTATAAAAGAAAGAAGAGACTGGGGGGTGTAGCTCCATGGTAGAGCCCCCTATGCTTAGCGTGATTGAGGGCCTGGATTCAATCCCCAGCACCACAGAAAAGAGGAGAGGGAGGAGGAGGAGGAGAATGAGTGGAATAAATGGGAGTGAAAGAAAGGGAAAAGCAAATGTTCATGAGTCCTGAGTACTGGGTTTTCAACCCAGCACGCTGGTTGCTGCCTTACGTAGATCATTTTGTTTAAACCTCACAACTATCCCATGACTAGGTGTTGCAATTTCCATTTTATAGGTGGGGGAACTCAGGCTCAGAAAGGTAAAGTAACCTGCTCAGGTCATACAGCCAGCAACCAGCAAAGGAGGATGGGAATTCAGGTCTGGCTGGCCTCGGAAGAGACTATGTTAACCACTGGACTCAATGCCCCGTGCACTCAGAGCTTCCCCAGGACGTTCTTCCCTGAGGACACAGCAGCTCTCACCTGCTGGTCTCAGGGGTCCTAAGGGCCCTGCTGGCTTGATCTGCAAGTAGGGCTGGTAGAAGATCTGCCTGTGGTTCCGGGTGAGGGAAGGCAGGTGAGGGAGGAGAGGGTGGAGGGTGTGGGGCAGGAGGCCTTTCTATTCCTAGCTATTTGTAAACAGTGTCCTGACGACCTGGCTTGGGGTTTCTGCATCGGACCCCAGAGATGGCCGAAGACAAATTCTGCCAAAGCAGCCTTGGCTTTTCCAAGATCATGCTGGGGTGGAAGGTTGCAGACAAGGAGGATTCTCCAGTGCCAGAACCTTCCCCAATCTCTTTCCTCTGCCATTTCTTCCAAGCTGGCAACTTAGTTTTGGCCTTGAACAGTGGGGCATAAAATAAATTAGGCAGAAATTAGGCCACTGGAGCCAGGCAGTAGTAGGTAATTATGTAAGCCTTGCCTTCTCCCTTAAAATTAACTCCTTGTTTTTCTTCCTCCCTGTCTCCCTCTCTTTTTGTCATTCTTTCACTCCCACTGACAGTATTTTTTTTAACCTTTTAAGAGATTTTTAAAATGTTGATTTGGCATATACAGGTATAAAGCCTGAAGAATTTAGCAGGAGGAAATTCTCACTCCCCTGATGTGCTGAGCAATTTTAGTACCTTATCTTATTTACTCCTCACAAAACCCCTTAAGGCTGATTTTTATTTATTTACTTTTTTGGTACAGGGGATTGAACTTGGGTCCCTGCGCTTGAGAGGCAGGCCACACAACCACTGAGCTAAATCCCCAGCCCAAGGCTGATTTTTAAAAACCACTTTCTCCCCCCAGTACTAGGGATTGAAACCAGGGACACCGAGTTACATTCTCGGCCTTTTTTACTTATTTGGAGACATGGTCTTGCTGAATTGCCCAGGCTGGCCTCAGACTTTTTTTTTTGTACCGGAGATCAAACTCGGGTCCTTGCGCTTGTGCAGCAGGCGGCGAAACCACTGAGCTAAATCCCCGGCCATGGCCTCAGACTTTAGATCCTACTACCCAGCCTTCTGCCACCCATCTTGGCCTGGCTCACGGCTGATTTTTTTCATTCCCTTTGAATGGTAATGGAGCCTCAGGAAGTCATGCTAATGGGACTGGATTGACAATGCCCGAAGGTGCTCACCCTTAATGTTCTTCTCTGCTCCCGAAAGTTACCAAGTTCACTGGGTCAGTAAGGGGCAAAAGCAGAATTTAAACCTGAGCTTATCTGATTCCAAACACCTATGGGCTTTCTATTTTGCCAAAGGGAACTGATACTCTGGATCCAGACCTCTTCTTTTGCTGGTTATGCCCAGAGTGGTCTAATAAACACAAAACATCCCAATCTGGAAAAGCCCGTGTACTATGGATCAGGATATTCCTGTTTCTCCAATTTGGCAGGCATGAGAATAACAATTTACACACACACACACACACACACATACACGTGCATGCTCGTGCACAAAGTATAGGTTCCATCTCTCCCCTGGGGCACTTCCTGCTAGGCTTTGTCCACTCTGGCCTGACTGTGGACACGCTGACATGGTCTGACATGGGTACTCCCTGTCTCTTGAAAAAGCTGGGAGAAGTACAGGTAGGTCAGACAGGTAAGACTAGGGCTTTGTCCTCCCCTTCCTGACCCAAGTCAATCCCCTCCGAAAGCCTGACGCTTCTAGCCTCCCACTACGCAGGTAGCAACCTCCCCTTCATCAGTGGCTCTCAGGCCACCGTGGAATCATCTCCACCTCCTCTCGCTGATGAGCCATTTATTTTTACAAGCCCTCCTTGGTCCTGTCCACCTTATGGTCCCCCTCTGGCACTTCCCCAGCCACGCTCTACTTGTCCCAAAGACGAGAAGGCCAGCATGACAGCTGTCACCAAGGCCTCACTTGCCCAAAATTCTTTAAATTAAATACACATTATTTACACACAAGAGAAAACTTGTATGAGTAAGAACAATACTGTAGACAAACACCTACAGATCCTATCACCTGGCTTAAGAACAGTCAGCTGCTTTTCCGCCTGGACAGAGGTAGCTGTCAAACTTCAGGGAGAGACCGTACACCTATCTAGCCCTCTCTGCATGCCTGGGTCAGTGGGCCCCATCCCCTCTCCTGCCCCCTTCACCCTGGCCTTGGGAGCTATTTTGGGTGTGTACCAGTCGGGATTAATCTCTTTAAGCAGTGAGCCCGCTGCCTGGTGTGCTCCAACCGCCCAGCCCTCTGTCTGCAAAGGGCATTCTGAGGGCTGGAGCCCAGCTCCGCTTCTTGGCAGGGGCACCCACCTGTGAACCTGAGCTGGACTGGTAGGGGAGGTGGCTGCAGGTGCTAAGCCTCAGCCCACTGCCCCAGGGAGAAGGAAGAGGGTGGAAGCTGGAGGGGTTCTTTCCCACATGGGGAGGGAAGGGACACATGGTTGACGGGTTGGGATCTGGTTCCTGAAACCTGAGCCTATGACAGGCAGTGTTTCACTGAAGCTCAGGCTGTACTTTCCCTGGGGGCTCAGTCTTTCCACTGGAGCTGAAGGAGAAATCCCATGGGACCAGGGGAACAGGCTTCGGCTGCAATGTCTGCCCCTTTGAAAGGGTCAGTTCTGCTAAGCTCCACCTCCAACCTAACCCTAACCCTTTGAGCATTCATTCAACAAAATGGGGGGGGGGGTCGTCTGTGTGCTGGGATTTTTTTTTAAGCATCTGTCTTCCAGTATCACACAGGCTGGTTAGAGAGACAGCCAGGAAAGCAGATGATTACGAAAAGGAAAATCCAGGGATGTATGGCTCAGTGATAGAGCACCTGCTTAACTTGCTCAAGGGCCTGGGTTCCATCACCAGCACCCAAAAAAAAAAAAGTGATGTCTCGAAGGTTGACAGACTGGGATTGGAGTGCTCAGATAAGGTGGCTAAGCTTGCCTGGGTTAGGAAGGCCTTCCGGGAGGTGGCAGTGCCTGGGAGTGGAAGGACAGATAGGAAGTGTCCAGGAAGAGGACACGGGGGACATTCACAAGAGGTGCTAATCGATCCGGAAGGTCCTGCAGTGTCCATCCCACTGAGCAAAGCAGTCCTGGCCCTTCCACACTCTAGACCCACTCGTGAAGCCACAGTATGATTCTCCATGGCCAGGAAGAGCCAGGGCTTCTGATCCATATGGGCCTACCTCCCACTCTTGGTTTCTACTTTTATTTTTGGTACTGGGGATTGAACTCAGGACCTTGTGCTTTTGAGGCAGGCGCAGGCGCCACTGAGCTAAATCCCTGCCCTTTTAAAGCTCAACTAGGAAAGACTGATGGCTCAAACATCCAAGGAAGGAACTGGCCAACAGGTTTCTACTTTTAATTCTTTTTGTGGTTTTTTTTTTTTTTTTTTTTTTTTGTACCAGGGATTGAACTCGGGTCCTTGCGCTTGCAAGGCAGGCGACAGAACCACTGAGCTAAATCCCCAGCCCTGTTTGGTTTTTGAGACAGGGTCTCACCATGTAGTTCAGGCTGGTCTTGAACTCACTATGGAGCCCAGGCTGGCCTTGAACTCGAAGCAATCCTGTCTCAGCCTCCCAAATGCTGGGATTACAGGTGTACACCACCAATGCTCAACTTAAATTTGTTTATGATAGAAAATTTCAAATGTATATATACAAAAGTGGAGAAAACAGTATAATGAACACCCCTGTGGCCCCAGCTCCAACAATCATCCACCCATTGCTCCCTCTGTTACCTTACTCCTACCTTGATCATTTTAAATAAATTCCTAATCAATTTTTCCATAAATATTTCAAGAGATATCTCTAAAAGATGAGCATCTGCTTAAAAGTATACTTGTAATACCATTATCATATCTAAAGTTAATGAACAAAAACCCTTGGTACCATCCATCTCACCCTAATCCACGGAGGTTTAGCCTGTGCAGTCCCCCCCGTGGGTGGGGGATCGGCTTTCTGCAGACTGTCACAACACTGCTCCCGGGAGCACACCTGTGTGTGCAGGCACTGTCTCTAACACGCCTCTGGTGGCTCTGTACGTACAAGTGTTGTGACCCTACCTAGGTTGTTAAGTTCTTCAGAGCAAGGACTGGCACTAGTGCCCTTTGGGTCCCCGAGTATGGCCGGGGAAGAAGCATAGATCTTGAAGTCAGGCAGGCCTCTTATTAGCTGTGCTACCTTACCGTGGTTATTCAACCTCTCTGAGATTTAGTCTCCTGACCTCTATAATGAGGATGAAGATACCTACCTCCCCAAGACTTCTGAGGCTTAAAATAAAAGAGAAGACAGAGGTGCCGGAAATGTAGAAGGTTCTCTGTAAATGCTCATCTTGTAGCTCCTGCTGGAGAAAGATGATGGTCTCAGACTCGGGTTTGACTGCTTGCAGTCCTCGAGTGCAGAGAAGGAGGGAAGGCGAGGCAGGGAGGGGTGCAGGATGCCACTGTTCTATAGCTGGGGGGGGGCTGAGCACCCAGACTTTACTCACTTGCTCTGGGCACTAATTCATGGGCAGGGCTGGCTTCACAGCCCTTGGGGACTGAGGGAAGGGACAGGCTGAGAAGGAGCAGAGATTTGCTTTGGCTCGTGTGACCAATTCCTGGGTTCCTTGACCCAAATGAATTAATGATTCCATGGCTGCCATCTATGGGGTGCTTGTTATATGCCATGCTAAGTGCTAAGTGCTTTCCATATTGAGCCCATGTCGTGGGCTCTTACCCTCATGACTGAGATACACAGACAGTAAGAGACACTGGTACTCACACCAGGTTTTTCTGATCATTGATCCACTATTTTGCTAATGGTGCAGAAGCGGCCACTTTTAGGATTCATTCTCATTCACCAAGATTTACAGAGCGAATTCTGCCCAAGGCTCTGTATAGATTCTGAACTCTGGCCAGTCACTATGACAGCATAGGCCCATGAGCACCTGGGGAGGAGGAGTGGATGGGAACCCCTGGCTCCAAGAGGGGAAAATGGCCCTAATTGCAGCTGCTTATCCAAGGATGATTCTTCCACACATGCCCACACCTCACCCTCATCTCCCTGACTTGGGCTCTGTCTGCAGAACTAAGAGTGGAGATGGAGGGCAGTGGGACAGGAGAGGAGAGGCAGAGCCGGTATTAACAGGCTGAGTAGGAAAGCTGGAGAATGAGTTTTAGGAGCATGAGTGCTGCTCACCCTCTCTGGGGCTAAACATCTTGTGACCCAGTGCTTGGTGAAGGGCTGGGGGCATGGCTCAAGGGTAAAGCACTTCCCTAGCATGAACAAGGCCCTGGACTTGATTCCCGGCACCTCAAGAAAAACAAAAGTACTGTTTTACCTCAGCCTCCAGATGCACAGGACAGAAGGTGGCCGTGGGCCTAGAACATGTAGGGTCTGGGTGGGAGGGTCCCAGAGGTGCCGAGGCTGTTGGTTATATTCCATTTCTTCCTATCTTTCCTGATAGCTATGAGGTACCAGGCCCTCATGGAAGGGGCTGTCATTTTTTCCCCTTAAATGTTTTGGCATTTATTCATCATTATCATGGCTGCCCCGGGGCAACCATTTTGCCCACAGCGTAGTAATTCCTGAGCCCCTGGCTTCCCATATTCTCCTCACTTCTTGGCAAAGCCTTAAACAGGGGCCCGGGTGGAGGAAGGGATGGAGACAGGTTGCCTGGACTCTCCTCTTTCCCTCCTTCCCTTCTCCTCCCTACTTTCAAGGACTTAAGAACTCAGGGCCCTGTCCACCAGTGCACTCTGACCTGTGGTCACTTTCACACCCAGCCAGACCTTCACGGAAGTTTCAGCTGATTATATTCCTGTTCTCTGTCCTCTGCAGGGGAATGAACATGGCATCTGAAGTTCCATAGAGGCGCCTCAGATTCCACAGAGGTAAAACAAAGGGCCAGAACTGAAGCTATAAATTCTTTTCTTATAAGAATTCACAAATAATAGCTACTGTACAAAAAATGTGGCTGAGAATGAGCCCAAAGCCTTAAAATAGTTTGTCCACTGGATGCTTTCTCATGAACAATGGAATCCCACAAAGTCATACTTAATCAGAGGATGGTCTGGTTTGTCCAGAGGAAACTCAAATATGAAAGCAACTGTGAAGAAAAAATAATTCCTTTATGCCCATCCAGGAACACAGAAAGCAAGCTGTGCCTCAGCTCATCCTCGATGCGGGCAGACGCGTCCTAACATTCCTGCTTTTCCCTCCTCTGCCGTCTCCCCTTGGAATCTCTCCATCCCCAGCAAAGTGGCCTCGCTAGCTTGTAAAGGACTTAATGCAGGGTTGGGGGGAGGCTCACTCTAGAGCCTCCTCTAGAGAGTGGAAAAGGAAAAAGGAAGAGAGGAAGAAGGAAAGACAGACAGACAGACAGACTTCACTTTTCCTGGGAATAAAATGGAAGCTATGAGGTTAAGACATTTCCAGCCCACAGACACCTGGCCCCTCTCCCATTGCTTTGGGAAGCCCATCTCCCCCTACCCAAGCTTCTTCAAATGGTCCATGTGCTATGAGATGCCCATAAGGTCAGGGGGAAAGTGAATCCTTCTGCCCTAAGGAGGGTTTGGCCTTCTCATGGGTGGCTGGCAGGAGGCTTCGAGCGTCATTCTCTCCTTTTGCTCCTCCTCACTACAGGATGGGAAGAATTTAATGGAAAAAACAGAATACGAGGGATCGGGATGGAGTCCGCTTGACAAGGAATCCTTCAAGGACACTGCCCAACTTCCCTTCCACTAGTAGCCCTATTTGACCATGGGATACTGTACTCCTGCAATGTAGCATCCAACTTTTGCTTATGGAGCAGAATGAGGGGCAAGAGATACGCACTGCTGGTTCAGTGGATACTGACCAGTCTGGAAGCACTCGACCTTTCGCCAGTGAGAGCTGTTCTGCTAAGGCAGGAAGGAAGCACCCTAGGCAGGGAGTCAGGGTCCCCCCCACTTCAGTGTGTCACTCACATCCATGGACATCTCCCTCTGGATCAGCTTCTTGGTCTCCTTTTCACAGAAGTTGAGCATGGCTTCCCGGTTGTACAGGCCCGTGGACTGTTTGTCGGTCTGGTTCCTCTGCAGCAGCCCCACGGGAATGCTCCCATCTGGGTCCGCCACATCCAGCTCCTTCTCCAGCTCTTCCATCTCCTCAGGAGACAGGGTGGACAGGAGGCTGTCGATGTCAGGGTCCTCACTCACCTGCCGGCGATACTTGGCTACCTTGGACATCTTGGCAAAATGAGCTGCGACTCCTGCTCAGACTGCGGAACTGATCAGACGTGCCAAGCAGGCTTGTGAGCAGACCCTCAGTGGGTCAAGGACTGCAGTGCCCTGGCCCTGCCCTGCCACAGGTGCTCAGTTGTCACAGCAGCTTCGCTGCAGCCCCAGGCTGGTAAGCCTTGCCCTGGTAGAAACAGCGACCAATAAGCCTGGACAACTTCCCCGGGCTCTGAAAGGAGAAGCCAATCCCCAAGCTGGGGGCGGGCCTGCCTCGCTGTCAGAGCTGTTTGAAACTTGAGGACATTCCAGGGAATCTTGGAGCGCTGCGTGACCAAATTTAGTACAGAACAGTTTAGCCTTTTAAAGACAAGGGGGCCATGCTATGAGAAAAAGATACAAAAATGCAGAGGCTGGCAGAAGCCTACCATGGCCTCAGAGAGCCAGAAAAGCAGGACCAGGACCATGGGGCTGTGAGCTAGCCAGCCCGAGGCGTGCCTGTTCAAGCACAGTTTACTTTTCTGTCACTGATGGATGTCACTGTGGCCAGTGCATTGTTCATTGACTTCTCTCTACTGTATTTGGTAATGTGCTGGGGGATGCCCGGGCCTCCACCCTGGGGAAAACGGAAGACACTCAGTTCAAGAGGAGGGGCTATGCCTCCCAACCTCCTGCTTACCCATTCTCTTCTGCCAAGGCAATCTGAGTGCTAAGTATCAGAGGCTCCAGCCTGCGGAGCGAGAGAGAGAGAGAGAGAGAGAGAGAGAGAGAGAGAGAGAGAGAGGCAGGCTGTGCATCCAAACTGAAACCTGCAAAGCTGTCCGAGGAAGAGTGTAGGGTATGCAGGAGGCAGGAAACTCTTAAAGGGCTATAAATTTTGGAAGGCCCAAGGCTCTTGGGAAGAGGGTCCAGACCTCCCTCTGTTCTCAGGTGCCCCTCCTCTGCTGGGGATCTGTAAGCCAGATCTCCCTTGGGAGCACAGGGGAGGAGCCGAGGGGCTGCCATCCATGTAGAAATCCAGAGTATGATTTAGCCTGTCTTCGGGGAAGTACAGTTCTGGGGCTTTGGGACATCTACTGTTTATCGCAACAGGTCTGGCGCGTTTCATAGAAGGGCTTTTCGCTGCTCATCCATCATGCTGCCCTGCGCAAGTCACAGGGACATTCAATCTCCTGCCCCCCTCCCACTTTGCCACAAAATCCCTTCGAGAGCCCTGGTGTAACCCATCGGGGTAGAAGCTTCGATCTTTCCTGGCATCTTTCCATCCTAAGCCAAAGAGAGACGGTTACTTGATCAGCGTTTGCAGGGTGTAGGGATCATCTGGGACTAAAACTTGGCCATGGCACTGAATGCCCACAAGTCCAGCTTTAGGTTAAGGCTGAGGAGGTGAATGACGCTGCCTGGTGGGGTTGGAGGACAGAAGTGAGGCAGGAAAACCAGAGAGGGAGGGTGGGAGAAGGGGTTAGAGAACCCTAGCAGTTCTTCTTCTTTTATTTATTTTTTTGAGACAAGGTCTCACTAGGTAGTTCAGGCTGTCCTTGAACTCATGGCAATCCTCCTGCCTCAGCTGTCTAGTACCACAATTACAGTGTGTACCACCATGCCGGGCATCCTAGTTCTTCTTTTTTTTAGTACCAGGGATCGAACTCAGGTCCTTGTGCTTGCAAGGCAGGCGGCGGAACTACTGAGCTAAATCCCAGGCCCCCTAGTTCATTTTTAAGAGTCAGTTGTCATGTGTTGGCCAATCAATAACATATATTTACTGAGTATCGATGATGTGTCAGGCACTGTTGAGAGCCAGAGATGTCACTAAAGATACAAACTTTGGAGGTTATGGTCTATCAGTGAAGATGATTATTAAACTAATTACTTCAAGCAATCTATTAAATAATTAAAAGTCTGCAAAATTCCTCAAAAGAGAAGTACAAGGGCTCTAAGAGACTACAACAGAGGAGGCTGGGTAGCAGTGTGGTGCAGTCATACAGGTGAAGGTCGTACAGGTGAAGGCCCGGCTCTGGAGGCCAGCAGACCCGCACAGGGTTGTGGTACTGCTACTTATTGTCCATGTGACTTCAAGAAAGTCACCTTCTCCTCTGGACTTGGCTTTCCCATCTGTAAAATAAGAACAACACCTGTACCCACACTGTAGGATTGTTGTGAACATTAAATTGTCACACACATGAAAACACCGATCTGATATAAGGTAAACATACATATGCTGATATATTTATTAGCAGTTGCTATAATTATTTATACTCTTATCCTGGGTAGTTTTCTTTCCAGCCCACTTCTGTCCTCCTTTTCTTTCTTTCCTTCAGTAGTAGCCACCTTCAATATACACGTGTGCGTAAACACACACACATACACATACACACACACACCCCTTCTCACCTGGTTCTTATTCACTCATCCACTCATTCAAGTATTGATTCAAGTATGTATCTATAGCACATGGACAGGCACCAAGGGGAGAGGGATACAAAAATAATTACAACATTGTTCTTCTCTTTAAACTGTATTATTTAATGGGGTAAAAATGCTTCTCCTGTAAAGGCAAAGGAAAGCAAGCAAAGAGGTATAAGAATCATCAAGAGTCCAGCAGTAAGGGGTTGGGGATTTAGCTCAGTGGTTTCGCCGCCTGCTTTGCAAGTGCAAGGACCCGAGTTCGGTCCTCGGAACCAAAAAAGAAAAAAGAAAGGAGCCCAGCAGAAGCCACATTAATTCTGTGGGGAGAAGGAGTCAGGATGGGCGTGGGCACCCCAGAGGGCCTGGGGTGGGAGCTGGGTTGAAGGGCCTTCAGCTAGACGCTTTGGGGGACATGGTGCTCCCTGGCCCAGTGTCCCCTCAGAGTGGCCAGTCTTCCTTCTCAAGGCCACAGCATCTTCTGGGATCCTGGCTCTGGGGCCACCTTAGCCGACCTGTAGTCCCCCCATCAGCAAGAGCCTTTCCCCAGCTTCTAAGACTCTTCTTTCTCAGGATTTTTGCTAAAAATATTCACTGTGCCACGAAAGAGGCAGCAGAACACGAATGCAAGCAACTCCCTTGGCTCCAGGCTTGCCTCAGTGTCACTGGCTTCAGTGGCCTCCTGTTCTGGGCCCAGTGATCTCTGCTCTAAGGAAACACTTAAAAACAAATCCTACCAGGCATGGTGGCACACACCTGTGATCCCAGAGGCTGAAGCAGGATGATCAAAAGTTGAAAGTCAGCCCGGGCAATTCAGAGAAATCCTGTCTCAAAATAAACATTTTTATTAAAGGGCTAGGGCACAGTGGTGGAGCACTTGCCTGGCATTCATGAAGCCCTGAGTTTGTACCCAGCACCAAAAAAAAAAAAAAAAAAAAAAAAATCCCAGCTTTTAGAACCAAAGAGCAGGACTCACAGCCTCCCAACCAAAAGTGTCTACACGTGAACCTCTCTCATTTCTCTGTCTCAGGTCCCACAGTTCCAAACTCAGTCTGAAGTCCTCTGACCCCTTGAGCCCTAGGGCACCCCAAGACTGCTCACAAACTCTGAAAATATTCTCTTGAAAAACACTGCCACTGAGGCTGGAGGATGTGGGAGCCCAAAGATGCACAAGTATGGCTCCCTGCTGCACCTGCAACCGGAGGCCATGTGGGAGGCAATGGTTGTCCAAGCTCAGAATCCATATCCACCAGAAATGAATTCATCCTGGGATTCCTCAGGGATTCTGGCTTGGGCTAGTCCTCAGGGAAAAGCTAGCATTGCTGGGGCCAGAGAGATGGGGAGAGAACAAAAGGGAGAGAGACTTCAAGCTCCAGTCAAGATGATAGGTGGGATGGGAAAAGGACAATAAGGATGCAGAACCACTTGAACTCATGTTCAGTGGCTCTCCATGTGTCCCCAGGAAAGTCACATTTTCAGCAATATAGGGTGGCAGTATAGTGTAGCAGGTAAGACTGCAGGCTCTGGAGTCAAATGACTTGGGCTCAAATCTGAGACCTGTGACCTTGGGTGAGTTATTTAACCTTTCTGAGCCATGGGAAATGGAATACGAGGACATTAAAAAAGTATTTACCCAAGGGCTGGAGGTGTAGTACTTGCCCAGCCCACACAAGGCCTGAGTTTAAACCCCAGTACTGCAGGAAAAACAAAAAAGTATTAAGCTAAAGAGAAAGAGTACCTACTCAGAGTTACGGTGTTATGAAGTATGTTAAACAAGATGCATGCACAGTGTAACAGCATCAGACACATAACAAGCATTATCGTGCAAAATGACTTTTGCATGCATGTGTACATGTGTACACACACACACACACACACACACACACACACACGCTCTGATGCAGAATAGCTAAAGCAGGGGCCAGAGTGTGCGAGATCACAAAAGAGAGAAACTGTCACACCGATTCTCTTCCTTAAGATGCAAGGTTTCTCCAGAAAAAAGTGGCAGACTCTGTCTCTGGAAACAAGCCACCAGCCTGAGCTAGCACTCCTGAGATGAACGGAAATGGGCAGAGGAGAGGTCGGGCACAGACACAGGCCAGACTCATGTCTTTCTGAAAGGAGAGCTAGGGCAGGAAAAAAAGCTAAGAGATTGCCTCTCCTGCCTCAACTGGCCCAAACTAAGATACCTGTGCCTACCAAAGCGAAGAACTCCAAGCCCAAGAGCTGGCTGTGGGTCCAGCCTCACCTATCTGGGGCAATCTGAGTTTCTGGTGACTTGGACCAGGCCCAACTATGAGATTTGGAGCCACAGTCATGGACTGTGTCCTCCTGGTGGATGGGACCCTTGAGGCCCCAGTAGCCTCCAAGTTCACACATACTGAATGGCTGGGAGGGGCAGAGTCTGAAAGTGTCCATTCCCATCAGTACCTGGACGACAAGTGGTTCCACCAACAGTCCCACCCTGGGGCTAGAACACTAACTTTAACAAATTGTGCCCTCGTGTGTTAATCACCAGTTCTAATGCCCCTCCCCTTCATGGTCTCAAGGACTTTCACTGCTTTCCTCACTCATTCCTCTACCTTTAAGCTTCCCTCAGTGAAGGCCACCAAAGTCCCTTAGGCTAAAGACTCCTGACATGGCTGGGTGTGGCAGTGCGTCCTGTAATTCCAGCACTGGGGAGGCTGAGGTAGCAGGACTGAGAGTCTGAGGCAAGCCTGGGCTACACAGAAAATGTGGTCTCAAAAATAAAAAAAGAAAACCTCACTAGATTACAGTATATCTTTTCTTCTGAAAGGTTTCTTCACTCAGCATCCTGGAAATGGGTGTGTGTGTGACTGAGGATTGAACCCAGGGTTCTGCACATGTAGGCAAACATTCTATCTTGGGCCGGGGATTTAGCTCAGTGGTGCCACGCTGGCCTTGAAAGTGCAAGGTCCTGAGTTTAATCCCTGGTTAAAACAAAACAAAACAAAACAAGATACGTAGTCTTACTAAATTGTTTTTTTTGAAACAAGGTCTTGCTATGTAGCCCAGGCTGGCTTTGAATTAACAGCAATCCTCCTGCCTCAGCCTTCCAAGTGCTAGGATTACAGGTGTGTGCCACCAGGTCCAGCTAAGTTGTCTTGACTGGCCTTGAACTTTCCACCTTCCCATCTCAGCTCCTGAGTGGCTCTTGATGACCATGTGGAGCACAAATGGCTATTTCAGAGAGAGAAGCGACACATGCCTCTAACAAATGCTAAATCTGGGGCTTTCTGAGTCTAAACGCCCAGCTGTCTGTTGCAATTAAAAGAGAGCAGAAAGTGAGAAGACTGAGACCGCTTGCCGGCCGCCACTGGAGCAGAGTCTCCCAGCACGGCACGCTCCTCTAGGGTAAGGGCTGTTGGATGAAAGGAGCTGAGTAACCGGCAAAGAGGGTCTGGACTTCAGCTTTGTAAACATAAACTCACTATGAAAGCTAATTTTATACCAACTCCAGTGGGCCACAGGGTGCCCAGATTAAGCACAGTTTCTATCTGGGAGAGGGTTTCTAGGTGCAAATAACTTGAACCAGTGGACTCAGTAGATTGTCCTTCCTGATGTACTCGGGCAGTGCCCAGTCCAGTGAGCGCCTGTGCAGAACCAAATGTGGAGAAGAGAGAATTCTCCCTGCTGTCTCTGCCTGGAACACTGGAACTGGCCTCGAACACTTCATCTCATCCTCTCCTGCCTTCAGACTAGGGTTTCTGTCATTGGCTCCCCTCATTCTTGGGCCTTTGACCTTGGATGAAATTACCCAAGCAGGGGCCAGGGATTTAGCTCAGTGGTTTCACCACCTGCTGCCCAAGTGAAAGGACCCGAGTTTGATCCCCAGAACCAAAAAAAAAAAGAAAAGAGAAATTACCCAAGCAGCTTTCCTAGGTCTGCAGCATGCACATGCAGATCATGGGACTCCACAACCTCAAGATTAGGATGAGTAGATTCCTCCTTAACTCTACCCATCTATTTACTCTTATTTCTCTGGAGAACCCTGACTGTTTTTGGTGATTGAGTCAAAAGAACCAAGCTCACAAAAGGCAGAGACATAAATTAGTATTAACTGCCAAGTAGACAGGAATAGTTATGAGCACAGGCCTGGGCATTTACTCCTATATATAAGGCTATTCAGAAGCCACATAATAATCAGAAGATTGCTGAATAAATATGGTATAAGAGCTTTGAATAACAACAGAAATATGGGATAATAATTGGCATTACAGACATAGGATAAGATTGCATAACAAATATGGAATAAGAGCTCGGGTTCTTGGGGTCAAGGAAAAGCAAAGAGCTCTGACAGAAAGCTCTGTCAATTGAATTAATGCTACATAATTTGTCATCAACTGTGTGAAGCTCTTAGCAACTACTCATAGATCTTTTAAGAAGCACAGGAAGGTATCTAGAGCTAAAGGATATTTCATCTGGTTCTTGGTGAATCCTTGCCCCATGAGAATGCAAATTTCTAGTTACTGAAATATGTATGCCACCAGGTCAGAGGTGCTGACTGAAATCCTTTCTGTGCTGCACCTTCTGGGCTCCGTGCTCTCCTGCATCCTCTTTAGCCTTTACAATTAATTAAAGTCTCTTAATTGCAGTCACACATCCCAAACAGGCTTTCTTGAATTTACACATCCAAATAAGATGATTCATTTGAACTATTCTCACACACAAGACACTTTTACTAATGATCTTTTGTGCTCTGGAAGGCTCAATTCATATTTCCAAATATTTGAAGGGAACCTCACTCTTCATTGCAGTCTCCTATTGTTTATTACATTAACTTTTCCGCAAGATAATACACATTTTAAAATCAACAGTGCAGAATGGAGAGGAGTTCCCTTCACAGTCATCACAGGTTTTGCTAGCTCTCAGTTAAAAGGAGCAGTTGGGTACCAATCCTTTTCAGTCTCTTTTCTCTGGGCGAAACAGCCCTCACACCATCTGGTAATCATTGGGAGAGAGGACTGAAGAGGCTGTGGAGTCAATGTCTCTCAAAGCGAGGGGCTCAAATTGGTCATGGTCCTCCAGATGGCCCAAGTAGCTCAATATTTTTTGAGCATTTACTACATTTCCAGGCCCTGTGATTATAAGGGGTGGAGACCCCAGGGCTATACGTAGCTGCTAGGAGATTCAGAGTTAACGGCAAATCCGCCTCCAGCCTGGAAAGCACAAGGTCCGGAGTTGGATCCCTGGTACCAAAACAAAAACAAAAACACTGCTAATGGCAAATTGGGTAGCATTAATTCACAGCTGACTGCAAACGTGCTTTTAGAAAGGAAAAGCATAATATTTAAGTTTGGCAAACCCCAGCGAAACAGTATCAGGTTTATCTCCGTCCCCGAACCTCCAGCGACTGAATAATTCGAACCCTGTCTTTCTTCTTGGTATCGGGGATCAAACTCAGGACCTTGAACTTGCGAGGCAGGAGGCGGCACCACCGAGCCAAACCTCTAGCCCCGAACCCTCTCACTTGGTAGCTTCTCTACCCACGCAGCACAGCTCCCCGCCTTCGAGGACCTGGGCAGGGAAAGTCCCGCCCACACGCTGGCCCCGCCCCGAGTCCTGACTCCCATTGGCTACGGGGGAAACAGCTAACCAATCCCCACAGATTTTAATGACCTCCTATCGGGATCACTTCCGCCGCTGAAATCAGTTTCCGCCCTGCTCACCCGGCTTTGCTCTCTTGGCCGCTAGTCAAGATGGAGGAGTACGCTCGGGAACCTTGGTGAGCCTTATCCGCAGTCCTTGTCTTTCTTTTAAACCTTTCCACGGCCCTCATTTCCCCCGGCTCAGTCTCCCGAGATTTAAGCAGAACTCAGTCTCAGGCGCGTCGACGTAAGTTTGGTAACCTGGGGCAGTGGGGACGAGAGCGGCCAGGTGACTTCTTTAGTCCTGTACGGCCGCAGCCCAGCACCCAGTGACCTTGCGGTGGATGACGGTGAGGGATCCAAGCTTGGGTGGATAGAGACCGAGGACCTCCTCCTGACGAAGGGCACTGTCGACCTTGTGCAGGGTCGGTAGTAATCCTCTCTGCCCGACGAGGTGACCTTGGACGCGTCCCTGCACCTGTGCTCAGTTCCCGCGCGGAGGAAGGGAAGCCTGGCCTCTGTGGGAGGGAGTACTGCTCTTGAGACTTTGTGTCGTGATGCGTGTCCGCAAGGTGAAACATTTCAAATGATTGGAACATAGATTTCACCCTCGGAGTCTGGATAAGCTCCTGTAGGCTGGAGCGTCGTTTTCGTGCTTGGAATTCTCCTTGGGGAAGGAGGGAGGCAAAAAATATCAGGAAAACATAAAAGAGGTAGTTGAGTGGGTTCTCTGAAAAGCTACGAATAACAGTTCATTCAGCATTTATCAAGTGAGGACTCTGAGCGTAGCTTCAAGGAATAAAAACATGAAAAGATCAGGCATATACACACTTATAAAACAGTATAAGCAGCTGTTCGTTAGTTCTGAGTTTCTGGGATCATAAATAAAAATCAGATCTTGGTTTTTGGATTACTTGTTCCTTTGTGTAAGAGCAAGAACCAAGGTATCCTCAAGTTGTGAAAATGTCCAGAACTTGTAAATTATTGCCTTGCTAGCAGTAGCCATGTTGCTTAGTTTGTGCCCCACCTCCCCCAAAACGTGTAACAGAAATGCTTCACCACCTCCTAGCACTTCAAGCTCTCCTTTTTTAAAGACAGTTATTTCCTTGTATTGTGCTTGAATATGCAGGGTTCAACACGCTGTAAGTTGCTGTTGGATACATGATAATGATACACATCAGCAGGGGAATAAAGTAATTTTGTTCAGTTAAAGATCTTATAAAATAATGCGTTTTCACTATGTAGCCCCTTTTCTTTTTGTACATATGTACTGAAACAGTACAGTCAGCTGGTTAATTTTGTAGTCAAACTGCTCTGATCATCTGTCCTTTCCAGTTATAACATTTCTTGAAAAACTAAGCTCAAAACTTAAGCGTCTTTTCTCTCCCACTGGCCCTGTGCAGTCAGAATTTTTTGAAAACGTCTGCCTGGTTCTCTCTCTTTTCTGCTCTCTCTCTTCTCTTTCACTTCTCTCTTTTCTCTTTTTTCTTGTGGAGAAGACAGGCTGGGGATTTAGCTCAGTGGTTCCGGCGCCTGCCTCAAAAGCGCAAGGTCCAGAGTTCGAGCCCCGGTACCAAAAAAAAAAAAAGAAGAGGATTGATCCCAGGGCCACATTCATGCTAGATAACTGCTGACTTTCTGCTTTTTGTTGTTTCTGTTCTTGTTCTGTCAGGATTTTACCTGGTGCCCATAATGCCTTTTATAGTAGCTTCCTACTGCTTTCCTGATCTCCAGTGCTGCTTAATACACCACATGGGTGTAATCATTCTAAATACTTCTTTGTATCATATGTTCTCTTAGAAACTCTTAGCCTATATGGTACAGCTGAAAGAGTTTGGTGACTTTGGAGTCCAAATTTTGTACTTAAATTGATTCTACTAAAAAAAGTTGATTCTACTAGTTTTTACATATATCACCTTGGGCAAGTGTTGTAGTCAGCAGGATTGGGCAAGGGAATACATTAAATACAGAACATAGCTTATAAGGTTATTTTATGATAATTACCCAAAGATTGAAATACAAAGGAGTGCAAGAGATTAACTGCACTCTAGAAGCCCAAAGGATTCAACTGAGGGCCTAGATCCCAGCAGTTTCCCACACAAGTCCAGCTGAAGGCCTAGAGTCCAAGGCAGTGTCCTCCTCGATTCCAGCCATTGTCCTAGAGCCCACGGCAATGTCTCATGCTTGTCTGTATTGAGGATCTGCACCTGGAAGGCCCAAAGGCCAGTGATGGAAGCCAGAAAATCTACGCTGGTGAGATGAAGGATTTGTGCCACCAAGCTGAGGGATCCACATTGGAACTAGGAAGTGATGCTCACAGTGAAGATCAGAGCTCCCCTGATGAGAACAGCAGCCATTCCCAGTGACAACGATGCCCCAAGCTCCTCCTCCGATGAGAACTTCTTAGTTTGCATCAGGAAAACTATCCACAGCAAGCTTCTCCTAGCAAATCAACAGGCCAAGATCTTCCCCTCCAGTACTCTTTTTATGGCCATTGGTAACAGTCTTCAGGTGGATCCTCCATGCCCAGACCACGCTGATTCAGTTCAGCTGGGCGTTACAAGTTGCCCCTTAATCAGTCCACCACAGCAAATTACTTAATTTCAGCCTGAACTTCAGTTCTTCTGTAAAATGGAGAGGAGACAGGAATATTCTTTTGCAAAGTTAAAAGATTATGATTATTTTTTTTTTAAAACCAGGGATCGAACTCAGGACCTTGCGCTTGCCAGGCAGGCATTGGAGCCACTGAGCTACATCCCAGGCCCAAGATTATGAATTCTAAAGGAAAACAACACAGCTTTTTATGGACATCGCAAGTTTTATTTGCACTGTGGGACACCCAGAACATAGTTAATACTTGGGCTCGGCATGTAGCTCAGAGCCCTGTGCCTGCCTAACAAGTGCAAGGTCCTGAGTCCGACAAAAAAAAAAAAACATAGTTAATATTCAAATGGTTAACTTTCGATCGTTTTACTGTTTGCTTGCCACTTTCTTGGGTTTTTGGTTTGTTTTGTTTTTGCTGTAGTAGGGACAAAATTCAGGGCCTTCTCTCTTGAGTTCCTAAGGCTGGTCTTAAATTTGTGATCTTCCTGCTTCAGCCTACCAGGGTACCAGAATTCCACGTGTACACTCCGTGTCCGGCAACATTTACAGTCCTGCAGAGTGTGAGTTCATTCTTGTGCTTGCAAGGCAGGCAGCAGCACCACTGAGCTAAATCCCCAGCCCAGCTCCAATTAATTTTAAGATCAGTTAGAAAACAAACCATAGACTTAGTAAGCCCCCAACCCCTTCATATTTTTTTGTATGTTTTCATGGAACCTTTCTTGTTTGCCCTATTCTGCACCACCGTAACCAGAAAACTTTGTCATTGTCCTATTTGAAAGTTACTAACTCCCTGTTTATAGACTGACCCATGAATTCCTCTCTTTTTGCCTTCCCTCTTTACTTCCTATTAATGTTTCTACTGTTTTAAAGAAATTTCTGTTGTCTGGTATAGTCTGTCAGAGCACTGCTTCTTAAACTTTTAAAGTGTAATAACATCACTTGTGGAGCCACGTGTGGAAGTGCATGTCTATAATGCCAGGACTCGGGAGGCAGAGACCAGAGAAATGAGTTTGGGGTCAGCCCAGGGAACCGAAAAAAAGAAGAAAAAAGATCCTGTGAATTGTGTTAAAATGTCCACTCTGGGTTTGGGGGTGCAGCTCAGTGGTTCAGCACTTGCTTGGCATGTTGGAGGAGGCCCAGCACAAGGCCCAGGATTCTTTGTTCTCTGACAAACTTGCTTCTAGGTACTGATTTTCCCCAGTTTAGGACCATACTTGTGGGCAACAAGGCCCCAAAGCATCTCACTATTAGAATACGTGCTGTGTGTAGTAGTCTTTCTGTACAAGATCATGACTAGTATTACACTTTGAAAATGGTGTGGTGTTTTGACTTTTTGTATTCCTATTTGGCAGTCAGAAATTACTTGTTAATTAGATTGTTAGGCAGCAATAATATTTGGATTTGTAGGTTTAAATGTAGTGCTTGTTCCTTGAGTCTAGTTAAAAAGAAATTTCTTTTACTTGCCATGGGTTGAGAATGAATTTAACAGTCACTCTTGGGCTGGAGATTTAGCTCAGTGGTTCTGCCACCTGCCTCACAAGCGCAAGGTCCCGAGTTCAATCCCCGGTACCAAAAAAAAACAACAGTCACTCTTTCTTCTCTCTCTCTTTTTTTTTTTTTTCCAGTGCTAGGGATCAAGTCCAGATGCTTAGTGCCTGCCAAGTGAGCACTCTGCGAGTGAGCTAGCCCTGCTTAAAGATTTATGAGCCAGATTCCCCGTAGTTCTGTTCTACTAAGCAAATTACTCAGATTTCAGTATTACATAAGTTAGATTGCTGCATATGGAAGCTGGGTCCACAAGGGTATTATTCCAGTGCATTAAATAGAGCTGATCGAAACTAGTTTCAAATGGCTACTAGAACTCAGTAGACCAGGAAAGAATTGGAGACTCTTCAGAATTTGTCTTTATCTGTAGTCATGGAATCGTCATTGGGTCTCAGCTTTAAAATTTATGATTGCTGGAGCTAGGGATTTAGCTCAGTGGCACCGCAGCTGCCTTGCAAGTGCAGGGTTCTGAGTTTGATCCCCAGTACCGCAAAAGAAAAAAAAAATGTATGATTGCTTACAGGGCTTCGGGCTTACCCTGTTGGCCAGAAGATTGAGTCAACATTGTTGATTACAGTGTAATTTCCTGTATATTTGTTCATTTGCTTTTGCACAGTGGCAGACTTAGGCTTTTAAAACAGATACAGTAATTGTTAAATGAATGTATGAAGTGCTGTTACGAATTTGGAAGTTAATGCTATTTCCATTCCTTCTAGCTAAGATGACTTGGGGCCAAATAGATATGGGTATGTTCAGTATTCTTTATCTTTGTCTACATTTCATAGGCCAAATGTTAACTGGTTACACTGGGTCCTGTATTACAATCAGTTGCATCCCTTACTCTATTAGCAAAGAAGATATTATGGTTTAGGAATGAGAAATAAGGTGATATTTTCCCCCCTCCTCTGTAGCCCGTGGCGAATTGTAGATGACTGCGGTGGAGCCTTTACAATGGGTACCATAGGTGGTGGGATCTTTCAAGCAATCAAAGGTTTTCGAAATTCTCCAGTGGTAAGTAGGTGGTTGGTCTTATTTTATCATCGCTTGAAACGGGTTTGGTAATATTCCTGGTGGCTGCACCAGGGGGTTAGAAATGTGTTACACGCCTAATGTATTACAGTTTAGGTTGCTCTTTTGTTACAGGGAGTAAACCACAGACTACGAGGGAGTTTGACAGCCATTAAAACCAGGGCTCCACAGTTGGGAGGTAAGTAAAATTGTTACATCCTTGCTCTAGTTTATTGGAAGATGAAACTTTTCTTTTTCCCTTTTTTAAAAGACTATATCAGTTAGTGATTTTAGTTTGATCTAACAACTTGTCACAAACTAATATCTCTGTAGGTTCTTCTTTATGGCTTGTTCGGAAAGTTCACTTGAGTTATTGTATCCATTTGAAAATCTTGTCTCTGTCCTTCAGGTGTTCAGTGATTTTTTTTTTCCCCCCTTTCTCCAGAACGAAGGCAGAGCGCTTAAAGCTCAGGTTTAGGGTTCGGAATGATAGCGCCTGGGGTAAATAAAACTGAAGAGGCCTGGGATTTAGCTCAGTGGTTCTGCTGCCTGCCTTGAAAGCACAAGGTCCCAAGTTCAATCCCCAATACAAAAAATAAATCAATAAAGCCAAAGAGAATGTGATCTGAATAATTGGGGTTTCATAAGAGAGAAACTGAGCTGCTGGGCTTTTCTCCAAGGTTAGCTTTTAGACATTGTGCAGAGATTAGTGCAAAATGTTAAAAGATTATGTGCATCGCACTTATAAAACTTGGTTTTTTGGAAATTGGGAGAAGGGAGATGACAAAAAAATGTAGAAATTATATTTATGTACTACATGTACTAGATGAAATTATATTCATGTAGTCAAATTGAAGACACCTGACTATTTTTCATAAGACGTGACTGCTTTGCATTCCTTCAAAACAAAAAATTTAGGACTGGGAATGTAGCTCAGTGCTAGAATACTTGCCTAGCATGTATGAGGTCTGGTTCAATCCTCAGCACCAAGGAAAAGGGTAGGGGTACATTCTATTGTACCTAGACAGCATGCCCCTCTTCTGGGACATAGGGTTACTGAGGAACAACTTTTTTTAATGTATTTTGAGCTCTCTGATAATAGACCAAAAATAAGGAGCTGTATTCTGTGGTAGCTGAGGCTACCAGCTAAAGGTAGGTCATGTCTACTACCTTTAATGAATAACGTGAGAACTGGAAGAGGATCCTGGCAATGACCTGGTTCAGACATTTGGAGAGACCCAGTTTATTACATTAGCGCATCTAGTTACCCACTATCCTGAGATTTCAGATGATAAAGAATAAATTGATTGAGGCTTGAGTATTCATTTTAGAATTGGAAAACAGAAAAACACAAGTCATCTATTTTGTTACCCAGAAATGCTGACTGTGAAAATCTTAACTGTCTTTTCTAGATTTTGTTTGAATTTGTGTATGTGTGTGTGTGCCTTTATTTTTCAGAATTGTTTTCATGTTTAGGTATAGTTTACGAAGTAAACAATCTGCTGACTTAAAGTAAGTTTTAGATTTATGCTTGAGAAATAAAGACAGAAAGGAGGGGTATTCCATAATTCTAACTGTTCATATCATTCATTTGCCACTTGGATTTGTATTGGCTTATACCTGTAATATATTGCAAAATAGCTGGATTTCTTTGTTTTTCTATTAGTGATTTTCAAGCCCAGGGCTTTTGTATGCACTAGGCAGGTACTCTGCTACTGAGCCGCACCCACAACCTTTGGCTTATTTCTTTTAATTGAGTTGTTGCTAATTTTCCAGCTGATACAGTAAAATCCAAGCTTATTCAAATAATAGTTATTCCAACCTTTGTTCGGTGTTTATTCAGACTTGTGTCTCCATGTATTTGTTTGGAGTAGGAGAATTTTGATAATATTTGAAATATGAGATGACATTTAAATTAATCTGTTTATTTTTAAAATAAAACAGGTAGCTTTGCAGTTTGGGGAGGTCTGTTCTCCATGATTGACTGTAGTATGGTGCAAGTCAGAGGAAAAGAAGACCCCTGGAATTCTATCACTAGCGGTGCCTTAACCGGGGCCATCCTGGCAGCAAGAAGTAAGCCAGCCTTGTAGATGCATGCGGGGACCAGACTGTTGGGAAGACCTCATATGTCTTCATTCTCATGACATGTGTAATACCTAAGACCGAGCCTCGCTTGGTTTGGGGTAGCATGAGTCAGTGTGGTAGGTTGGAGAGAGTAAGGGGGCTGTTTGTTTACTTGGAAAGCTTGCAAATGAGGGAGCTTGGAGTCCTAGCCCATGTATACAGGGGTTAAGAGCACTTCTGTTCCTAGTTTTGGCCATTTATTAGCTGTGTGACTGGGCAGTGTGCCAAACTTCATGTGCTTAGTTTCATCAGCATTCTAGAATTAATAATGCCTTCCACATAGGATTATTAGGAATAAAGAGTTTAAACCTGTCTTCTGAATCTTTGGGACAGGCAGCAAGCCAGAATTCCTTTGAGCTTAATGGTTTAGACTGATGGTTCGTAAACTTTTTCTTTCTTTTTTTTTTTTTTTGGTACTGGGGATTGAACTCACGACCTTGCACTTATGTGGCAGGCGTGGTGCCACTGAGCTAAATCCCAGGCCCTGTAAACTTTTTCTGCAAAAGGCCAAATAGTAAACATTTGAGGCTTTCTGGATGGTGTGATTAGCTCTGCTGTCACAGTACAAGAATATCCACAGAGAGTGCTTAATTAAAAGAACAGGGCTGTATTCCCATACAACTTTATTTACAAAAATAGCCAATAGGCTGGATTTGACCTGTGGGCTATAGTTTGCTGACTGTGGGTTTCGAACAGTAAGAAGGCGTTTGGGTTCGGGAGGAGGCATACAGCGCAGAAGCCCTCTCCTTTAGAGTAACCTCTTTGTTGCTCATATCTTCAGATGGACCAGTGGCCATGGTTGGCTCAGCCGCGATGGGTGGCATTCTCCTAGCTTTAATCGAAGGAGCTGGTATCTTGTTGACGAGATTTGCCTCTTCACAGTTTCCCAGTGGTGAGTCTTTTCTCTGCTTAATACCGCAGCTCAAATACTTTGGAATGGTTTCTTAATTAAAAAAAAAAAAACACTTATCCACCTCCTGCCTCGCAAGCGCAAGGTCCAGAGTTCAATCCCCAGTACCAAAAAAGAAAAATATTTTGTCTGCTAACATGGGGTAGTTTGCAATTTCTGCGTTAGGCATGAACATGCTGTGTAGTTCATGAAGACTGATAATGGGCTCAGATTCTAGTTGGGAAAGTGAGCAGAGGTGAAATGACTGTTCAGTTGGCCAGTGAGAGAAATGCTTGGGTACTTAATTTGCCGTTGGACCTTGTGTGTAGATCTCAGATGTTTTCAGTGCTCATTTGCTTATTCTGAAAACTTTGCTTTGTTGTTATTTTCAAGATGATCTCTTTATGTAGTTCAGGCTAGCCTTGGACTTCTCTGTAGCCCTGGCCTTCTCTGTAGCCCTGGCTGGTCTCAAACTCATGATCCTCCTGCCTAAACCACCTGAGTGCTGGGATCGAAGGTGTGTGCCACTGTACCTGGTACTGGTCATTTTAAGAATGTCTGAAGGGGGCCGGGGATTTAGCTCAGTGGTTCCAGTGCCTGCCTCACAAGCCCAAGATCCTGAGTTCGATCACTAGTATCAAAAACTAAAAAGATCTGAAGGACGGTTCCACAGATTTGTAATAATAGTGGTGGTTCAACAATTTCTTGTGATACATGTACGTACCAGGTGCTGGCGATATAGTAGGGAATAAGATAGTCAATAAGACAGTCCCCGCCTGCAAGGACTTAGATTCTGGTGGGATAAAACAAGACTAACACATTAGCAGATCATTGAGATGATTTCAAATAACGTTTCTTGCTTCGAATAAAATAAAATACAGTGGAAGAAAGTGATTCATGTTTGGGAGGAGAATCACTAGCTTTCACAGGAAAGTCTCTGAGAGCTCGGTAATTTGTTGCTAATTATTCCTCTTGTCTGATGCCTAGGGGAAAAGTAAAATTGTAGACTGGATAGTCATTATGTAGTCATGTAATATCTGCCTGTTAGGCTTAAACCAGGCATGGTGGCACACCTCTGTAATACCAGCACTCAGAAGGCTGAGGCAGGAAGATTGCCGCAAGTTTGAGGCCAGCTTGGGCTATATAGTGAGACCCTGTCCCCAAAAATAAATCAAACCAAAAAAACCAAAAGAACCTGTTAACTTGTACAATTTTAACTATCAAAAAATTTCATTGTTTAAATGGAGTTATTCCTTCATATTGGCAGAGGCAGAAAGATGGCTATAGTAGTAAAAACTTGACCTGGCCCGGGGCAGGGAGACAGCCAGAATGGTGAGATGTGATGAAAATTATCTGGGGGCTGGAACAGATTCAGCAGAGGATTAGGAATAGAGAAGTCCTCCCAGTTTGATTTGATTTCCCTGAGCACTGAAGGAGAGATTCAGTCACTAGCTCTGAGTTTAACACTCTGACAGTTACTTTCTCATTTTACTTTTTAGTTGGTTTTGATCATTTTAGTGTGAAAGACCACATGAAGCCAGGCATGGTTGCGCACATCTGTAATCCTCTCACTCTGGGAGACTGATGCAGGAGGGTTGCAAGATCGAACATGCAATTTAGTAACTTAGCATGACCCTTTCTCAAAATAAAAAATTTTAAAAGGGGCTTCGAATATAGTTCAGTGTGAAGGCCCTGGGTTCAATTCCCAGTACCATTAAAAAGAAAAGAAAAAAAAAGATTTCACATGAAACATCAAAAGATCTCCAAGCAGGGCGTGGTGACACACACGCCTGTGATCCCAGCCCAGCACTTGGAAGCCTGAGGCAGGAGGATTACCGAAAGTTTGAGGCCAGCCTGGGCTACATAGTGAGTTCAGGGCCAGCCTGAACTACAAAGGGAGACCCTGCCTCAAAAAACAAAAAAATCTCCATATTTTTAGAAATGGACATAACAAAAATTTAGTTATATTGTCTTTTAGAAATTAGCCCTGTTACTTTGCTTTAAGCCTTTTTCCTCAGAGGGAATCCCCTTTTTATTAATCAAAACTCACTGTTCCTATAGAAGCAGCCTGAAAGTAAGGCTATTTTTAGACAGAGATGTGGCTTTTTAAAAAGCTGTATAGGGGGACATCTTTGAAAAGTTAAAAATATTTTTCCAGTTAACTTACACAAAAAAGTTCTTGAAGCAGTAATAAAAGATTAGCTAGAACTGTATACCTAAATGGAAATAATTACCACCTCTGGCTTATCTTTTTCACTCAGTCCTTTCACATTTTCTATAATGAGCAGATAATTGCTTTTGTAGTAAAATAAAAGTGTATCAATGGAGTGTTATATTTGGAAAGCCTCAGGGAATTTTACTACTGAATTTTACCATTTTAACTCTTGTTTGTTTTCTTTGGGTTTGTTTTTTATTTTTTGAGACAAGGTCTCACTGTGTAGTTGTAGTTCAAGCTGGCCACAAAATGGCAGCAATCCTCCTGCCTCATCCTCCCGAATGCTGGGATTATGAGTGTGCACCATCTTTATCTCTTCTTTCCAGTTATTTTCTTGTCTGCTTCTGTTTCCATAAAGAAAAAAATTGGTTATTTCTCTAAAAGTCTTTTAAAAGCCACTGCCACCCTCCCCTCAGTTCCCAGGCCCTCTAATCCTTTTTTGGGGGGTGGAGGGTTTGAAACAGGGTCTCACTATGTAGTTCAGGCTGGCCTTGAACTCACTGTGTAGCCCAAGGTGGCCTTGAACTCATGGTGATGCTCCTGCCTCAGCCTCCCGAGTCCTCTAATCTTTTGAAAACTAAACTACAAGATTTTGTTCTGTGGCACCCTACGCTGAATTTTCCCATTTCAGAGCACATTTCCTACCTAATTAGTTATATAAATTGGATAACTGAGTTCTTTTAAAGTATGGCTAAGTAGGCCTGGCATAGTAGAGTATATCTAATCCTAGCCCTCAGGAGGCTAAGGCAAGCGGATCACCTGGAATTCAAGGCCAGCCTGGAATACTTAGCAAGACCCTATTTCAAAAAACAAAAACAAAACAAAAAAATAAAATATGGCTAAGGTACTTAAACTTTGTGGAAATACTTTTAAATTGTTACTAAAAATATGTTAAGAAAAAAACAATACATTAAGAGGTGGGAGAGATTCTTCTAACCCTGATATGTGGCAGCTTGTTACAGCAGCTGTCTTCCTTGAGTATTGCTTCTCGCTATCATGAATCCATCTGACTTTCCTGGCATAACATTTGAGAGCTGTCCATTCTGAAACAAGACAGCTTGTCATGTCATACCAAATTTGAAGCTTCTCCAGATCTCATGGGATTTGGCCCCTGAGACATATAAGTTCAGATTGCAGCTCTAGTGTAGCACATACTTTTCAAGTGAATTGGTTTACTTTCTACAGAGACGCATCGTTTTCAATTATATAATATCTGGATTCTCTTTCTAATCCTTCTTTATTTTAATTGCAGGCCCTCAGTTTGCGGAAGACCCCTCCCAGTTGCCTTCAACCCAGCTGCCATCCTCACCTTTTGGAGACTATCGGCAGTATCAGTAGGACTAGTCTCCCAGGGTTTTTTGAACAAAAAGAGCTGCAGTTGAAGAAGGCTTTCAGAAGGTCAAGTTACAGTCTGTTTTTAAAACTGTGGGTGCAACAACTGTGGCCATCGAGGCTATGAACAGACATTTGGCACTTTTTTCTATTTAAAGGAATATGGAGGGGGATAGAAGATACTACATTTATTTATTCACACTTGGATTGCATTTGTGATCAAAATAAATGTCTAATATCATTACAAGAAAATACAGTAAGACGAAGGACCAAAGGGCAAATTACAGTGAAACATGACCATCATTTCTTGGGGACTTCTCTGCCTGGTATTGTGTGCTCTTATTCAGACAATAAAAGCTCCTGTAACTTTTCTTTTAAGATAAGTTGTACAATTCTACTTTTCATACTTCACATAATGCATGTTTCATACCAGTCCCTAATCTCACTTGAATTATGTAGAAGAATTGTCCAGAGTCAACACAAATCGTTTCACAGCGAAATGCTCTGTAGATGAAGGATAGAGTAAAATACTCGTCCTTTACTTTGAAAGTAAAACACAGGGTATGCTGCCTTGGTTTTGAGGATGCTAGATACAAGACTGCTACCTTTAGGACCACTGGGTCTTGATTCCTGGTCATGAGGAACCTCCCCAGGAACAGCTTGGTTCCAATATACTCAGTTCTCTATGAGAAGAATCTGTGCAAGGGAAAGTCTGGTGTTCACTATATGCTTGGAAATAAAATACATTGTTTTTAATGCGTTCCAAGTCCCTTAAGCTGATCTTCAAAAGGTGTGTGTTGTGGAGCTGGGGATTTAGCTCAGTGGTTCCACTGCCTGCCTCAAAAGTGCAAGGTCCCAAGTTCGATCCCCGGTACCAAAAAAAAAGGTGTGTGTAGTGGGGTCTGATTGTGCCTGGAAATTGCGTTAGCATTTTGGAACAGGCTGTTTTCTGATTGTAGTGGAAGTGACCTGTGGCCTTTAGAAGGAGCAATGTTAGTAAGTCCTCATTTGCCTACGTTGCTATTTATATGAGATGAAGAACAAATCCATGTGGGTTCTGTAAACACAATTTGTCTTTTAGCACGATGCCATACATCATGTAATAAGCACTTAATTACTAATTGTGGTTTAATAATTATAGTCTTTTATTGTGAAATATACATAAAATAATATCATCATAAGCATTTATAAGTACAGCTCAGTGGCATTTGAGCACAGGCACAGTGTTGTTTAACTGTCACGACTATTAAACAGTAACTCCCATTCTCCCCTCCCTCCAGGCCCTGGAGCCTTGATTCTGCTTTCTCTCCAAATTTGCCTATTCTAGGTACCTTCTTTATGTGGAATTGTATAATATTTGTCCTTCTGTGACTGCCTTAATTCACTTAGCATAATGTTTCAAGGTCCAATGACTGACTATCCCATTGTATCCAGATACTGTTGATTGACTCATCTGTTTTGGTCACTTGAGCTTTTTCCATCTTTTGGTTAAGGTGAATTATGCTGCTATGAACAGCAGTGTACAAATGTCCAAGTCTTACCTGTAGTTCTTTTGTACAGCTAGCAGTGAGGTTGCTGGGTCATATGGTAGTTCTATGTTTAGCTTTGACGGACTGCCAAACTGCTTTCCACAGTGACTATACCATTTTAGATCCCCAAGAGCAATCCAAGAGGGTTCCAGTTTTTCCACATCCTTGCCAACACTTGTTAGTTTCCTTTTTTTTTCAGTGCTGGGAATAAACCTAGAGCCTCTTTCCAGGCAAGCACTCTACCATTGAGCTATACTCCCAGCCCCTCCTTTTTATTTTTAAATTTTGATGTCCTAACCTGTGAAATGGTACCTTATGGTTTTGATTTGCATTTCCCTAAAGATACTGAGCTTTTATGTGCTTATTGGCCATTTGTCTGTGTATCTTTGGAGACAATTGATGTACTTTTGGAGTCTAGCTCTTCAACTTGTATATCAGAAGAGCAATTTAAGCAGAACATGTTAAATTGCAAAGAAAGTGTTTTCTTGAGATCTAGATTTCTTTTTGTTTTTTTTGAACTGGGGATCGAACTCGGGTCCTTGCGCTTGCACAGCAGGTGGCGAAACCACTGAGCTAAATCCCCGGCCCGATTTCTTATTTTTTAAATGGTGTATCAGTTTGGAACATAAGTCCCTTTCATATGAATTCTGATTCTTTGAGGCTGTTCATATGTGATGATTCTGTTTTTGCCATTTTATTGGTTAACTCTGCTGTCTTCAGCTCAGCATATCAGAGGCAATTCTTGATTACAGATGAATTTTCTGGAGTTAGGGGGTGCAAGAGAGCAAAGTGGGGAAAGTTGGAAAGTCAGAGTTTGGGGAAGGACTTTACCTTTTCTTCTGCCATTTGTAGGACCCTTGGTGGAAACCCCTGTAAAACCTTTCTGCTTACATATCCAGGCTTCCCGATTCTTCACTTATCCATGGCCTCCTTTCTCTTTATCCTGCCTGTTGTCGAGAGAGACAGTGCTCTGTGACTTTCTACCTATGAGTTCCATGGAGAGGAAGCCAGGCGGTTTAGATGCTATTTTTAAAATACGCATTTTAAATACTGATAGGAGATGTTTAGTAAATATTCTAAATATAAATTTTGTGTACTAAAGCCCAGGGTATAAGGTGAACATTAAAATCATTTTAGGGGATTTAGCTCAGTGGCTCTCCTGCCTGCCTCAAAAGCACAAGGTCCCGAGTTCAATCCCCAATTCCAAAAAAAAGAAAAGTCTAAAATCATTTTAATTACTAAAATAATGGGAAACGAGATGGGAATGGGGTTTTCCCCAGCCCTTCCTGGAATAATGGAGTTAGTCTAATTTCACCTTTGAAATGCCCACTAGGTCCTATCTGTTTTTCCCTTCTTTTTAGTATTTGACACTTTGTGTGAAGTTGGCATGTAATAGTGGGTTTTGGAGTCACGGGTTGGAAGATGGTGCAGCTGCCCCTGCTAGTGCAAGTACATCTGTGAACTATCATGAAAGCGGGCTGCATCTCCACCCTGTGGTTGCTAGTCCTGGTTAAAACTGTCTAAGTTCTAGTCCTGTTAAATTGTAGGTTAGCGTACTATGTGCAGCTTGTTTTTGCAAAAAAGTTGGAACACAACGACCCCATTCTTACACATACTGTACTGTCTTGGCTGCTTTCTTACCTCCAAGGCAGGGTTGGCCAGTCTGGACAGAGACTGCCCCAAAACCAACACGGGAGAAACAGGGTTGAATCTCAGTAGATGAAGAAATTGAATTTCTGGATGACAGGAACCACATTTCATACTTGACAAATGTTAAGTGAATGAATAAGTTGTAAGCAGGTGTGTGTCTACCCAGTTCAAAAGTCTGAAGCTTTTTTAAAAAATGTATTAGGAGTCGGGCCTGGTGGTGCACACCGGTAATTCTAGCACTTGGGAAGCTGAGTCAGCAAGATTGCCACAAGTTTGAGGCCAGCCTAGACTGCATAATGAGACCTGTCTCTGAAAACTAAAAAAAGTATTATGAGATATTTTGGACATATGAATGTAATAAAAAATGTTCAGTATCTGTATCCCTCCACACAGTATAAAGAAATAAACATTACTCATGCAGTTGAAGTTCCTTATGCATAGTTCCCTTAGTTCACTCACCTATCCCTGAGAGTTAACTATTACCCCAAATTTGGTGTTTTGTGGTCTAATACCATTCCTAAATTCCATCATTAATTTTCATGTCTGGCTGCTCTGTAGCCTCACCGATATTTGGTTTTTATTTTTGGTACCAGGGATCAAACTCCGGACCTTGTGCTTTCGAGGCAGGTGCTGGAACCACTGAGCTAAATCCTGGCCACTTGTTTTTTAATTTTAGCAATTCTCATAGGTATATAATTGTCTCTCCTTATAGTTTTGTTTTGTTTTTTTGGTACCGTGGATCGAACTCAGGACCTTGCACTTGCAAGGCAGGTGCGGTGCTACTGAGCTAAATCCCCAGGCTGTCACAGTTTTGTTTTGTTTTTGGTACCGGGGATCGAACTCAGGTCCTTGCACTTGCAAAGCAGGCGGCAAAACCACTGAGCTAAATCCCCGGCCCCTATCGTTATAGTTTTAATTTGGAAGTGTATGGTCAAAATTTTAATTCACTTTATTGATTTTGGTTTTGAGAGTTCTTTATATACTGTGTATACAGATCTTGTAAGATGTGATTTGCAAATATTTTTTGTACCTTTGTTGAAAACCAGTGTGTTTCTGGGTTCCCAGAAATACACTTCCATTGATCTGTCTCCGCCTTTCATTAGTATCATGCTGTAGCTTTATAGTAAGTTTTGAAATGGTGTAGTATGAGTCTTTCAGTTTTGTTCTTTTTCATTGTTGTTTTAGCTATTCTAGTTCCTTCGCCTAGCCCTATAAACTTTACAATAAGCTTCTTGATATCTCTAACAAACCCTGGTGGGGTTTTATCAGGATTGAGTTTCATCAGTGTTTTGTCATTTTTAACATGTAGGTCAGTGGTGGCGAACCTCCGGCCCCTGTGCCATAGCACACTATCGGTTACCATTGAAAACTCTGAAAGGTTCCCCATCACCAATATAGATCCAGTGCATAGTTAGACTTAAACCTAGAGATTTCATTTTTGGGCATACTGCTGTAAACAGTACTATTTTTTTTTCTTTAAATTCTTTTATTGGTACATTTTAGGTATACAACAGTACTATTTTAAAATTTAATCTCCGTTGTTCAGGGCTAATAAATCGTGTGTGTGTGTGTGTGTGTGTGTGTGTGGTGCTAGGGATCTAACCCACGACCTCACACATGCTAGACATGTACTCTACCAGTTATTTATGTACCCAGACCAATTCACTTTTAGATATTTATTTCTAGTAGATTCATCTTTTATTTCTTTTTCTTGCCTTATTGCATTGGACTCCCAGTATATTATTGGATAGAGTGGTGAGAGAGAGCATCCTTGCTTTATTCCGGTCTTGAGGAGAGAGTATTCAGTCCTTATTGCTAAGTAGGTTTGTAGAATGCTTGTCAATTCTAAGGTTAAGGAAGTTCCCTTAGTTTGTTTTTGGGGACATGAGTTTTTCTCAAATACTTTGTCTACCTATTGAGATGATTGCATGGTTTTTCTGTTTTAATCTGTTAATATAGTGAATTATATGGTTGATTTTCAAATATTGAGCCACGATTGTATTCCCAGATAAACTATGCTAAGTCATGATGTAGTATCATTTTTATATATTTCTGGATTTGATTTGTTAATATTTTGGTGACGACTTTTGCATCTACATTCATGAGGGAAATTGCTTGTAGTTTTGTGATAACTTTGTCTGGTTCTGGCTATGATGAGACCATCTAACTAGTAACTAGTAACTGAAGGTGAGTGACAGC